ATGCAAATGTGAGTGAAGTTTCTTTAAGTTTATATGGAGAGCAAAACAGTCATAGTATGTATCCATGAAGAACAAACTTCTCTAGAATAAAAATATGAGGAAACAAGGAATAAACAGACAATTAATACCACAAACCATAAACCACACAGCAGCCTCCAAAACAAAATAAGATAAACACTGTGTGTGCATGTCATATCTTTAATTGTTCATCCTCGTTTCTGTTCCTTGTGTCTTAGCTCCTACCTCTAAGGAAACAAGGTAGAGATGCAAGGATAAGATGCAAGGAGGAGCTGCTATTGGGCTTAACGGATCTGCCAGTAATAAACTTTTAAATCTTATTATCGACTGACTGTTTAAGAATGCTTTATTAAAATTTAGCCACTTTAACAATTTAAATAACTTCTATCATTTTTTTTTGCCAAACCATCCCTTTAACTATAATCATCCAGTAACCACTGTTATACTGTTACATTAAGGAGGAAAAATTACACCACAGAACCTTTATTGTGTTACAGTAAAAAAAGACTTCTGCATAGGATGCACATGTTTATCCTCGCTCTGAAAGCCTCCTCTCTCATTTCTCTCCAATTCCTCCGAGCACACTTAAAAACTGATAAGTGGTGGACTTTGCTCAATTTCCGGGTCAGAGCTGGAGGGTGTGGAGCAGATAATCAATGATGCAGCATGTACAATTATGAGATGCACCCTATACACAGATAAGTAATGAGACACAGCTAGGAGAGATAATTGGAAGTATGGGTAATAAACTAAACACAGGGGGGGGGCGAACTTATGGAGACAACAGACAGGGTAGACACAGGAAGGGGTGGAGCCTGACTGAAAACTGATAGCAGTGGAGCCTTGTGATGCAGTTTCGCAGAGGTTCAGAATTCCAACAATAATTAAAATATCATTAAACCTTATATAAACGCTAAAGAATAATATAATTTAAATATTACAATACATTGATTAAATGTAATGCATTTCATAAAAAAAACATTTGGTGATAATAAAAGATTTTAATACAAACAATAGTTTGAAAAAAAGTTTATGTCAAATATATTGCTTTTATTTTTGCAAACTATTTGAACTTATTTGGCACACATTTATTTCTCACTTAAATTTTCCTACTGCAATAACAATAGTATGATTCATTAATTTCACTTAAAGTGTTTTGTGGGACCCCCTGCCATGACACATCTGAATGGACTTATTGCAATTACATAGCTACAGAATGCATAGTTATCTCCTTGGCATGATGCTGGCTGCCACAGGCTTTTTATTAATTAGCCATGTTTTTGGGCAAACTATACTTAATATGTTACCCTCAGCAAGACATCATCCACTTTTGAAATGTGGTTCTTCAGCAGAGTTGTTCTTCTGTTCAAGGTTAAATGGATAAACAACCACAGCACATGTTAATATTGCAATGCTATTGCACTCAATGTCTCTTGTTATTCACCCATAATGATTCTACGCTTTTGAATTGAGTAAAGTCTGCTCCTCCTTGAGTGCTTCTGCTTGGAAATACGTTTGGGAGAACCTGCTGAGCAGAAAGCCAGTGAATGCAGGAGTAACTGGAGCAGAAAGTGCCACTCTTTTGCCTTTGCTCACAGTTGGGAGAGCTTCACCAAGCAGAAACACACAGGCCTCAGTGATCACTTCTTTTTTAGTTACACCGGCTGAATACCTCTGTATGTTGCCTATCCAGTAATTAGACCGAAAACACAAATAAGATGCCTTGTGATGTGCCTTAATACATAATTCACTACCTCAAGGATGCACATATCGGGCTCTACAAGAAGTTATGCACATTAAATAGTAAAGTGTTTGCCATATAATGTTAAGATCAAAGAAGACCAAGACTTGTGGCAAGACTAAAGGCAAAGATTTATCTTCTCTTTTCATTTTGTAAGTATAACAAGTAAAATTTATTATCAGATATCCTGGTGGTTCTACTCAATGTACGCTAATCCTATAACTCAAAATGTGAAGAAGAACAACATCATATGATGTGCAAAAATCTTTGGAACCATTAGTGGGATGTTTGATGTAAAATGGACAATCTGCATCCCCAAACCTTAAAAAAAGGACTGATAGAAATACGGTTGAGGTTTGTCAAAACCCATTAGACCACATGGTACCCATGTAGTGGTGAATATAATGCTGCTGTTGGAACAAAGTCTCATTTCTCCAAAATGATAACTTTACAGGAGAAGGAACAAAGGAAAAATATATACTCACTTTTTTCCAAGTATTTTTTGGCCATTTCTTTTGGTCTATTCATCATGTGTAAAGGTCAACAGAAGGATATGTGGCTTAGAAAATGTGTGTGTGTGTGTGTGTGTGTCTGTGTGTGTGTGTGTGTGTGTGTGTGTGTGTGTGTGTAAAGGTCAACAGTCTTTCTCAAGTTATTTCAAAAACTAAAAATAAAAAGAGATACAAGGGGTAACACTTTCTATGAATGTCAAGTTTGTAAGCATCTATAAACACATTCATAATATGTTATAATGCATTCAAAAGGCATCATAAACATGGCTATAAATACTTATAAAAATGCATTACACATTATAGCCAGGCTTATTATGCATTATGAATTGTTAACATAATGCATTATAAGTTACTGTTCATAACAAATTATAAGAGCTCATAAGTTGTATTTGTATTTGTAAAGTGAAGCATACTGTTCTAAAGCCTCCTCCAGTGTTAAGAGTGAGGCTTCAAATTGAAGTATTTACTGAAGAATTTACTGAAACACTAAAACATACACAATAAAGCACATTACAGGCTTCAAAGGTATGATTTTAAACTAGTGCTGCCATCAGTAGTGTTTTACCCAGTATGGCAAAGTCAATGTACACCACTGTTAGCTTGGCACTAACTTAACACTGCATATCCAATAGAATGCTAGCAGAAATTAGCATTACTGTGGTGTAGTGTAGTGTTACAGAGTGAAGGTTTCTAGTGCTTGATGTTAGAACCAGGGAGAGAACAAATTACAATGACAGCACTCTACTATCTCACCTCTCCCTCTTCATGCCTTCACTCCACAGTAACTTCACATTCAGCGTGATGTCAGAGGGGGTTCAGGGGAGGGGCTGATGGGTACTTGGTTTGCTGTGATATAATGTAACATTTAAATTGAGAGCGCTGGTTAAAAAAAGCACATTGTAGCAATAATTCTATTTGTCTTTACTTTATGCTCTCCAAGCTGAGACTGATTTCTTTGGCACTGACAGTATAACATGTTATTAACACTACTTATAATGCATTATATTAACAATTCATAATGTATATTAAACATGGCTATAAAGTGTAATTCAGTGTAATTCATTTTTATAAATATTTATAACCATGTTTATAATGCCTTATGAATGCATTATAACATGTTATAAATTTGTTTATAGATGCTTACAAACGTGACATTCACAGAAAGTGTTACCATACAAGGTTTTGTTCCGACAGCAGCAATAAGCTGATTTATTATTATATGTGGAAGTTTAACAAATTATCATATAATCTGTGTTAAAGCAAAAGGGTTGACATGTTTCATTTGTCAACCTCATATATACCCTACAAATAATTGACAAAATATAACTGATAGCTTATTTTACATCCTGCCATCTTCGTCATCTGATCAAATTATTTAATTTCCTATGAATCATCCTAATCTTAAAACTGTAGAAAGCCCATGTGTCAAACACAAGGCCCGCAGGCCACATCAGGCCCACAACACAATCCTGTCTGGCCCGCAAAAGTGTTTTGATTTTCTATTAATATTAGCTCTTCTGTGTTCTGACTCTCCTACCCCAACAACAATCTATGGGACAGCAGTTACACCACAGGTCTACACAACTGTACACAATTCCTCACCAAACACACTAGCTGCATTTCAGCTGCAGTTCAACCAATATAAACACCTAACATTAGCTCAGTAGCTCAGAAATGTAGGTAGGTAGGTTTAAATTTAGGTAGGTAGGTTTAAAAGACCGAGCTCCTGGGGACATTTAAATTTTGATTTTTTATAAGTATTAATGTAATATTTCAAGGTGCACAACAAGTGCCTATATTTCACTGCTGATGTTTTTTGCATCTTTTGAATAAACAATGGTCAAATGGGGTTAGAACACAACAATAATTAAAAATTAAATTAATAAATTTTTTTCTCTGGCCCACAGATTTGTTGAGATTCTTTTAACATGGCCTTTTTAGTGGTTGAGTTTGACACCCCTGATATAAAGTAACAGGGCTGACTTAGAGTTTGTGCATGCAAGACTATATTATTTTATTATATATTTCAGTTAGTTTTTCTTGTAATTTTATTTTTACTTATTTACTTTCTGTAGAGTGTTTGTCCGAGCCTCACCACAAGCATTTCAATGCATAAATGTCCTGGCATGTTGTGCATATGACAAATAAACTTGAAACTTGAAACTTAAATTAGCCAATACTGCCGTTGAATTCATAGCTTTTTTATAGCAAAAGGGGACAGTGTATTGCATTAAAAAAATAACTTAAATAACTTTATTAAAAATAAAAACAGTAATAAGCTTTGATTAGATTTTCTTCGATTAGAAATTGTCCATTAGAAGTTACTTGGACCTGAAGGACAAATCAATAATAAATTAAATCAATGAACATCGATGCAAATACCTTCTAAATACATTTTTTTTTAAAAGTCTTGTTTTCTTTAACCTCAATGTGCAAAAGAATTAACCTTCATCATTTGAACACTGTTTTTTGTTGAACAGTTTAACTGTTCAAATGTCCTAAAGTAAAGGACGCAAAATGTCCTCTTTTGGCAAAATCATCCTAGTAGCTGTAGTCTCAGACGGACTTCCGCATATAAAAGAGTTCCCTTTGTCAACATACGAAGCATGTGCTTTAACAAACCCTGGGCTATCTGATAGCTGCGGTCCCATTACAGTTCCTCTATGCACGTTTCCATTGTAATTCAAGACTCATTCATTTGCATTCATTACCGAGAGTGGTCCTCCTTCCATTAGATGGCAGTACAGAGCGATGACGTGGGGAAGAGCATTGCTATCATGTGATCCTAACTCGCTTCCTTAAAACACCTCAAAACATCGTAGGACCTGTTTATATTATTCAGGTGACTTTAAGAAGAATATGGAGGGGCTTGTCAAAACGTCTATGAACCCAACATCAGAAGTGGTCGCTGATTTCAGAGGGTAAGGTTTTCGCTTGTTTCTTATAAGCACGTCAATGCTAGCTAGTCAGCTAGCAACACCGCACGTTAAGATCAGTTGATTTCCGATTCATTCATTCTCTTAGCCAGAGCTGATCTTGAGTTCAGTCACCCGAACAACTAAATAAATAAATAATTCAATAGAGTCTGGTCCACTGTCACCCTTCAGTGTGTATAGCTGTGTTTCCTCATGTTAGCATGCTTATAAATTAGTATAATTTTATAGTATATATAATTATTGTCCCGGCCGAGGACAGTGCTCTCGTTGGCTCGTTTTTTTTTTTTAGAGTAACTTAATGCCGTAATGTCATAGGAGCTAGCCATCACTTCAGTAGTCATCATTGCTCTATCTAAACTGGGGACCCCATGCTTTAGCAAACCTGACCCAGCACATAGGAATCCCAAAAATATAAGAATAAACAAAAACATCATGAATCTATAGGGCTTGGACAAATAGTGTCTGGTACTTATTACAGTTTGACATTGAAGGTACACAGTTTATGATTAGCATTTGTTTACTTAAGTAAAGAAAGACTGATGGCACTACTTACTGACTAGCTTTCGTATGGAAGTGCACTGAAGCTAAATTGAATTTAAATAGAAATTATGTTATATGTAGGCTTTATTTGCTTGAATAGTCTGTAATGTTCATTTCCTGCTTGTTTGGGGCTTTTGTGTTCAGTCTTGTCTCTTGTGATGTGCATGCTCAATCATTTTATTAGATTTTAGATTCCCTCCTGTTTTTTGTCTTTAAAAAAGTCCATAGTCACTTTAATGGTACACTATATGGACCAAAGTATTGGGACACGTACACATTACACTTACAGGAGCTTTATGACATCTCATTCTAAATCCATAGGCATTAATATGCAGCTATAACAGCTTCCACTCTTCTGGGAAGCTTTCTACGAGATTTTGGAGTGTGTCTGTGGGATTTTTTGTCCATTCATCCAGAAGAGCATTTGTGAGGTCAGACACTGATGTTGGAAGAGAGGGCCTGGCTCGCAGTCTCTGTTCTAGGTCATCCCAGAGGTGTTCAATGGGGTTGTGGTCAGGTCTCTGTATGGGCCAGTCAGGTTCTTCCACACCAAACGTACCCAACCATGTCTTTATGGACCTTGCTTTGTGTACTGGGGCACAGTCATGCTGGAACAGAAAAGGGCCTTCCCCACACTGTTCCCACAATATTGGAAGCATACATTTGTCGAAAATGTCTTGGTAATGTTGAAGCATTAAGATTTAGCTTCACTGCAACTAAAGGGCCTAGGCCAGCCCCTAAAAAAACAACCCCATAGCATTATCCCTCTTCCACCAAACTTTTCAGTTGGCACAACGTAGTCAGGCAGGTAATGTTCTTCTGACATTCGCCAAACCCAGACGTGTCCATCAGACTGACAGATAGAGTGTGATTCGTCACTCCACAGAATATGTTTCCACTGCTCCAGAGTCCAGTGGCGGCGTGCTTTACACCACTCCATCTGACACTTGGCATTGTGCTTGGTGATGTAAGGCTTGCATGCAGCTGCTCAGCCATGAAAACCTGTGTCATGAGGCTCCCGGTGCCCAGTTTTTGTGCTGATGTTAATGCCAGAGGCGGTTTGGAACTTTTATGCACTATGTGCCTCAGTACTCGGCAACCCCGCTCTGGAACTTTACGTGGTCTTCCACATCGTGGCTGAATTGCTATGGTTCCTAAATGCTTCCACTTTTATTTACACAATAATATGCCATAATACCATTCACAGTTGATTGTGGAATATCTAGGAAGTAAGAAATTTTGCGAACTGGCTTGTTGCAACAGTGGCATCCTATTACAGTACCACGCTCAAATTTGGTAAGCTCTTTAGAACACCCTGTTCTTTCACAAATGTTTGTAAAGACAGACTGCTTGACTAGGTGGTTGATTTTATACACGTGGCAGTGAGACCGTGAATGGAACACACATTCACTGATTAAGAGGTGTCCCAATACTTTTGTCCATATAGTGTATGTTTCCAGTCCTGTTGCGAGGTGAAGTGTTCCCTTACATTTAATGCAGTCAGTGCTTTAGTACACATCGGAATTCATTCTGCTGCCATTAGTAACACGAGTGAGAAGTGAGCCATTTCCGCAGCTATATCTGCCAAACAGTCCCTGCTCTTGCACAAATGGTTTCCCCTTTCTGTTAATCTGGTATGTTTTGTAAAAGAATGCAGTGTAGAAGCCTGGCAATTCAAGATTTCTAAGGGCTTTTTAATACACTTTTTTTACTCAAACTGTAAACTGCTAACTCACTGTATTTCTTTTTTGTGTTCTTCAGGAATGATGGATCCATGGTTTCTGCACTTAAAACGTTGCTGTTTTTTACAGTTTTAATGGTTACTGTGCCAATAGGGTTATACTTTGCCTCAAAGGCATATATCTTTGAAGGTAAGGATGAAACGTGTTTGGCTGTATCATCACCTTATAGAAGAGATTCTCACATGTCTCTTGCAGCCTAATAAATTAACACTGGTTTCCCTTTTCTCTCTCCAGGTTCACTGCAGATGTCCAACACAGATAGCTATTTCTATGCTGCTATTGTAGCAGTTTTGGCAGTGCATGTGGTCCTAGCCCTCTTTGTTTACGTAGCTTGGACTGAAGGTTCATCACAGAGAAGGAAGGGCAAGCATGATTAGACCAGGGCAGTAAATATACATCTTCATCTGCATTGCCAAACTGACCTTTATTGTCAGTGAGGGTAGTGAAAGGTTAAAGTTGACAGTAGTATTAAGCTTTTAGGAAGTATTTACTTGCAGTGGTTAATATGTGTTTGGGTACAAAATACAAAGGCTAAAAAAATTGACAAAAGACAACAAAAAATTTAAGTAACTAAGTCTTTTTTTTCATGCAGTTGTTTTTTTTCTATGATTTGTCATTTTGGGATGCAACAGTTTCAGAATTCTGAATCAGTGCCAAAATATTACTTACAGTATTAGGTGATGACACCCAGTGATGACACCCATGTCATCACCGGTGCTGACATTTTTGGTTTATTACATCTGAATCATAAATATGGATAATTGATCACTTTAAATTGGTTCACATAAATACATACATTTAACAAGTGGATGACAAGTGTGTCTGATGCAAATAAAGGGTGTTTAACGTGTGTGTTTGGATATTTGTTTTATTGATGTGCAGACACTCCACATTTCGTTGAATGTGTTGTTTGTGAACTATTGTGATCAGGACCCAATTAAAATATGTGGCAGTTCTCTTGTTCTTAACTGTGTGTTTTATACTTTGACCCAAATTGAATTTTTCCAAATGTTTCCTAAGTGAACTAAGTAAAATTCAACATAGAATTTCATAAACATTTAAATCTTTCTGTAAGTATGTTTTTTTGTTTTGTTTTTTTTTTTTCCCTTCAAATAGTTCATACGCAATAGATTGGCTTCCTGGACAGGAAACAGGGATTAAGCCTAGACATTCTGAATGGAAATTCTTCATTAAAAGGAAAATACTCCAGGACTACCCTGTCCTGTCTGGAAAACCGACCCTACATGTTTTGTCCTTGTTATTTGCTACAAAGTCAAAATATCTTTTCAAATATCAATTTGTAGGAACACTCATGAGCTGCATCTACCAAATAGCTGCATTTTGTAGGTTTACTGTCTCTAGTCCACCTGTCCTAATGGAAAGAGGACCACCATAGGACCAACAGATATTTTTTGGTTGGTAGACCATTTTCACCACAAGAGGGATGCCAACGTGGTAGTGGCCTGTTAATGGGTGGGTGTATCAGACACACTCCTGGAGTGTTTAAACATTGTGTACAGTTACTGGCCACCTTTTTTATTATAATAATTACAATTTTCAGTTATTCTTATTGCAAAAAATGTAATAAATACAGATATTTGTTACATACACAATTTATCAGTGGTAAGTTTCTGATTGAATTGTCACTGTTAGCCAGATAATTTTGGAAGGAAAGCTATTCTCTATTCAAATGATAGCTGTAGTATTATGGAAGGGCTGACAAATTGTAGAACCGATGGGCTACAGTCAGTAGTTCTAGCATTCAAAAGTCTGACAGAAGTACACATATCACGTCTTACAAAAATTAAAAATAAACATTCTGCTCAAGGTCGAGTTGCATGTTACGAAATAAATGACCTTTCAAATGAAAGGAATACAGAAGTTCTAACGTTGCCTATTTCATATCAAGGACTGTGATAACGTTCCACAGCCTTGAATCCACTTCCTCACCAGTTAACTATCACTGGCCATTCCGAGCTTGACTGTTATATTGTAATTTGTAAGTGCCAACTGATTCTCAGGCATAATGGAGAGCTGTAGAGGGAAAGCAATTCTTGTCCCTTGACTGCAATCTGTCAAGAGCTAGATAATGTATCAAATAAATTAACCTAGGAATGCAACTACTAATGTAATGCAATAATAAATACTGTTGGAAGTATTTTTTTTCCATCCTTTAGATGTGTTTTTACTTTTTTTGTTTTGTTCTTTAGAGGGCATAGTTTTCCATGGATGAGGAAAGGGTAGGGCACAACCCTTTTAAATGAATGCTATCTTAACCAGTGTTCAAGGTCCAGGATGATAAGACCAGCTCCACCTGACGTAAAGCAATCTTGGATTACCGTGGGCTGATATCTTATTACAATTAACTGCAGGTACAGAGCAGCACTACACAGTGTGTTGAAGAGCAGTGGAACTGCTTACCTGGCTCTGTAAAAATGGAAAAGGACAAAAGAGAGATCCGATGGTTCTCATGGGTCTGGCTAGCATTATTGATTTCCCAGTTTCCAGCCCATTCAAGTGCCTTCATGGTCTGTTGGAGTGCTTATGTGGAGCTCCGGTACTTCAGTCCAGTGACCAACCAGAGTACGACCAGTGTGTGTGAGTGTGGAGTGTATGGGTCAGACTCGCCTTTGGATGCAGAATCTGGGTATGTGGCACTTCCTAATTCAGATCCGCTGGCCTGCTCTCCCAACATCACCTTTGCTGTCAACCGTAAGCCATGGATAGCTCTCATCAAAAGAGGTAACTGTAGCCATGCTGACAAGATCCAGGCAGCAGAGCAAGAGGGAGCCTCAGCTGTAGTTATCTACAACATTGATGGCACTGGAAACTCAACAAATCCCATGTCCCATTCAGGTATGATTTTTTGTAATGAAATTGTATGCTTTGATAAGATGAGCTAGGAACAGTTTGTCCACATTAAGTCTTACAAGCTGCTTGTGTAATGAGGAGGCATACTGGCAACTAAACCACCACAAACAGGAATGTTGATTTGAAGATGTCATACAAATTTGGCACATAATTTTAAGCTTCTCGTTGTGTTCTGGTCCAACAGATTTCTTGTTTTTTATTTTGTTTTTCCGATCATGAATATGGTTTCTGTCATCTCACTGCCACAAGGCTTGCTGACTTTGTTCAGAGTAGGCTTCTAAATAAAACATAAAATTAATGCTAACTAGTTTTGCTGACTTTTGCTTGTTTTCTTCAGAAGTGGAAAATGACTTACTGTGCTTAAGAGTTACTGTAGAAGATTTGTACTTTACTTGAGTATTGTTGAAATTGAATACTGAATACATTTTCTTTCAGACTTTTAAAGTGCTCATCACAAATCTCAAAGGCCAGGGTATTTTTTCTCTTTTCCTAAATTTTTTCTCCTGCCATTTAGTTGAGTATTTGAAGTTATTGTTTATTTTAAAACACACAGTCAAATTCATATAAAATAAAACTACCCTACTATGCTAATTTGTCTTGTGTGAGTACCGCTCAATCACATTACACAGCCCAAAAACAGAACATTTTTAAAATTTAGAACTTTTAAATTTAAATTTAGAACTTTTAAAAACTTTTTGGTATTACTTTGCCTACATACTTCCACTCTTAACCGAGCAGACATTTGTCGCGGTGCCCATACTTTCAGACAGCCTGCTTGGCAGTTTCTTAGTTTTTCGCAGTTTTACCTTCATCTCCTCTGTAAACAGCCTTTTAGATATCATAACTGAAGTATCATTTGTTCTTTAAGAGTATTCTCTATGTTTTGATCCCCTTTTGTCTCAGATTAGGTCCACATTTTGATTTGACTTACACCACTCTGGCTTTGCGATATCAGAGTCCAAGGAAAGCCCAACCCCATTTGCTTAGTACAGTAATAAGTCTTTATCTTCAATGCTGAGTCACATTCCTTGTTGGGGAGGGTCCGCTTCAACAGGTTAATGTAAACACATAGTTATTAAGCAACAGTAAGAAATATCTTTCAAGTCACATGGGTTAGTAAAGTCTAACACTGATGTATATACTAAAATTATGATCGATATTCATCATTATGGCAGACTTACACTAGAGTCATGGACACTGGCAAGTGTCAAGCACATTATAACTCTTCAAAATGTTTTGTCAATTTGTGATAGGGCCAAACAAAATTGAATATACAAAGTTATATATCATATTTGTGTTCAAGACAAATCACTGTATTTGCATGGTCCAAATGTGCTGTGGTCTAACTGATCCTCTTGATAGATCTATGCTGAATCTGCAGTATAACCATCAAAGCATGGAAAATAAGATGCTATACAGAGACTCTGATTCTAACTGAGAAGCAGAGAGATATATTCTGAAATCTTCATAAACACTTAGAAAAACAGCTTATATTGAATTTTATTTATTTTCATTTATATTATACATTTATATATATTTTAATTGAATTTATGTAGTATTTGTGTTAAAAATTATTCATGTATTTTTTGGAATTTACACAGTTCTTAGTTTCACATCAGGCAAAAACAATAAAAAAATAAATTAAGGATATTTCTTTATTCCGACTAGGTCTTGTTTTGACTATTGAAAATTATTCTAGTATTATATCCAGTAATAGTAACAATATTTGCATTTTCTCCTTTGCTACTATCCCTTAAAACCACCTACAATACTTTTCAAAATTACTACAAAAAATTACTTGACATATTAATAATTTTTTGTTAGTGTGCACACAATAATACATTTGTTAGCAAATGAACCTTATATAATCTGGATTTAAATATCATTAACCATACACTAAAAGTGTTTTTTAGATGTTTTATTAAATATTTTTTTAATGTATTTTGGGATCAACAAGAATTTCTTACATGATAAATCATATTCTGTAATTCTCTGTTTATAATACTCTTTGTCAGGTTTTCTGCCTCAAGATTAGATCATCACTTCTGCATTTTGGAAATTAATTTAATTTTACTTTATTCTGGAACAATATCATTTCAGAATCCTCTTCAGCTTTGTTCATTATTCAGGACACATACATTTTATTATTTTTTTTATTTTTGATTATATTTTTACAGCTTTGTAGCTTCCTATAGGTATATAGATATAGAATTAGATATAAAGACTTACTTTAAAAATACACTAACTTTAAAGATGCACAAACTAACTTCAACTACTCCCGGTAGAAAGAGGTCTTACCGGAGCTGTTTCTCCCGTTACGTCAAAAACATGACTGGCAAATGCTAGAGGGCACCAGCGAGCAAGTCCTAAATGAATGGGGGTAAATGGAGTTAAACGGCTAGAAACAAAAAGTAAAAATAGTTTCTAACCATTTGTTCAAGACTTTCCCTTAATGTTAGAAAGTAGAAGGATGTATTTTACTAAAAAAGCAAAAAAAAACTTAAGTGCTACTGAGTGCTGATTGGCTAGCATTAGTGCTACTGTGTGCTGATTGGCTGGTGAGCGGAGCAGCTCATTGGCTGAGGGAAGTTCACACTCACTGACATCATGAACGTACATGAGGCACTATTATAGTCTTATAACCAGATCTCAAAAGTGCTCGAAAATATATCAGCAGTGTTAAAATGTTTTGCTGTGCTCTCTTCATTAATGAATGCTTGCTTCAACATAAAAATATTGAAGTACTTACAAACTATGATTTCGGTCAAATGCTCCATATTGATCCATTCATTTTGTACTCACTCAGGAGCGCCCTCTAGCATCTGACAAACCCGGAAGACATTACAGAGTGGCAGTTCTCCTCACTACGCAATTCTCTGGTCGGACAGCAAAGTTCCAACAAGCTGACTGTTCAACAACAGCTAGCTAACGCCTAAGTATCTACCTAAGTATCTGTTGAGACAGACCAAAAAATTGTTCGAATCAGACTTACTTAGATGTCACAAAACACCATTTGTCACCAAAAATGTCTAATAGAACAGCTAGAACAGCACCTAAATAATGCTTATTTAGGTGCTGTACTAACAAATACTCACCGTGTTTGCACTGCTTCACACCACAAGAAAGTGGTGTCGTGGAAGACATTTTCACAGAGAGCTACAAGCATCCCAGATGAGGAGAGTAACAAACTTGAGTGTTGGACATTGTAAACTCTGCAATATTACACCTTGCCAAATATCAGCCTTACACCATGTAGTGTCAATCCAACCAAATTTACTTCCAGAATCTCAACACTTTAACCCTAAAATCAGCAGCACTAAAATTTCAACATTGGCAAATTTGCTGTGTACTAGGTATCTGAAATCTGTGAACCTGCTCAGGACTAACACATTAGAATTATTTTGTTTGTTTTTTTCTGCAGCGAAATTGTTTTTATTTTATTTACAAAATTGATTCCAAAAGCTTAAACAGGGATCCCAAACTTTCAAACAGAGGTGTATGAACATCAGTTTAGTTTTCTGCAAAGTGCATAACTTATTCAGAGTTGCAGTAACTTATAACAGAAATGCCCATGTTTTCCATATCTGTATAAAGGGCTACAGTGAGCTCCAAGAGAAGTTTAGTGTCTTTGAAATGGTTTTAAACCAAACTTCATAATTGCTTCTCTGTAGTCAGATTCCCGCCTTGGTTAGAATGGTCTTTTGTTTTTGTATTGAATGTTTGAGTGGCTTCAATGATGCTGTGGGGCCAGAGGTGGGAACTTATTTGCTTAAGATTTGGAGAAGTCTGTACTTGAGATTTTCTTTCACATAAGACTTTTTCATACATCAAGTTGCAAATTTCTCCATTTCACTCAAAACTGGGTATTTGAGCACATGTTTCCATGCAGTGTCTCACATCAAAAAGTAAGGAAAAGGACAAATGAAGCAACGGAGTGAAGTAGTGAATCCCTACAACACTGTGCAAACCTCACCTGCATGTCACTTTAATCATAGCCATTGCTTCACCTGCCTTTCCCCTTTTCTGTGTTTTTAATATTTTATATTAATGGTAAAGCCTTATTCTCTGTTCATATTGCTCTTGTGTTATTGTTTTGCTATCAGGTGTTGACCAGAGGAGGAACCTTTGTGTCTTGGTTCCACCTAAGGTTTCTTTCTCTTGCTCTTAGGGAGTTTTTCCTTGCCACTCTCGCTGTTGGCTTGCTCATGAGGGCTTAGACCCAGATTTTTCTATAAAACTGCCTTGTGACAACACCTGTTGTAAAACGTACTATATAAATACATTTTGACCTGATTTTACTAAGAGAGTAGGGAGGGAACTGTTCTGTAAAGCAGTAGGAATGATAGTTCATCCAATATGAAGCCAACCAAAGTTGAGCGATTGTTGTCTCAATACCTTCCCTATCCACTTTCAGCTTTTTTCATTTATGATTCATTCATGACCAGATTAATATAAAGAACATCTTAAAAAACAACAACAACAAAAAGCATTAGAAATGCCCTAGTAGTACTTTGAGTAAATTTAAGAGCTTGTACTTCAGTATTTTAACTTGAGTGAAGAATTTGAAACTATACTCTGTGTTATTTTAGTATTTACAATTTTACCTACTTCATATTAGGGAAACTTTTATCTTACAGAGAGACATCCATTTTGTATGATTCACTAATTTTCCACAAAGCTTGGGTCTATTAACAATTAACATGTCTTGGTAACAGCCCACATTTACATCTGTGCGAATGTATGCAGGTACAATAGAGTATGAACTACCTTGTGCATTTGCATGATCAAAATAAATGTAGTTTCATTAACAGGCTTAGGTAAAAACCACCATCAGCCTGTCTTATCATGTCCTTGATCAGTGTCCCTTTTTATGACCCACTTCAGAAAGGAGAGTTACTATTTTACCAAGTACTTGTATGTACTTGTCTAATGATTACTTTTGTTTAATCTGGCAGTTTGTTCATCTCATATTTTTATTTGTAAAGCATTAGACTGTTAGACTGGATAGTTCTGTTATTCTTGCATGAAGCACTCTTTCAAAGCAGTGTAACCATGATAAGGTGTCTGGCTTTGGCCTGCTAAAACTCTAGCAGGATTCTTACAATCTGATTTTGGGCTAGATATGATATGAGAAGTATTAGGGTGTTCAGTTTCATTCTTTGTAATGTTTTAATATTCTAAATAAACTACAAAGACTTTATTAGGTCATGGTCGATAGTTTGGTTGTGTATCATTTAGAATTCTGGGACCTTGAGTCATTAATTTCTTTAAGATGGGTATTTTAACAATTTGTGAAGTTACAATCAGTTTGCATATTTTATACATCCTATTTTACACTGAGGGTCAATGTTTTTTTTTTTTAAACAATTTTCCAAAATGCCATTGATTATCTGTACTGCAAATTTTTAGAATTTAATGCTATACCTACTTGCCTACTCTCTCTAACAGGGACTGGCAGCACAGTGGCCATCATGATCGGCAATCACATGGGGAAACAAATCACTAGTCTGGTTGAGAGTGGAACGGAGGTCTATATGAGCCTGTTAGTGGGCAACCCATATAAGACTTGGGGCAACCCTTTGTGGGTCTATGTCATGTCTTTTACCTTCTTCGGAATAACAGCCATTATTCTGGGATACTTCATCTTCGTGGTCATTAGGCGCCTCTACCGAAACAGACAGCTCCGGATCCAGCAGGTTAGGTATTTACCAGCTATAGCTGACCTGTTGGGATTTTTTTTTATCTGATTCAATCAGTTTCAGACTTAACTGTGAGCTTATCATTAATGATTTGATTTTACCACCTGACTTAAGTTGGTCCACTGACATGGTTCTATCAACTCTATCAGTAATTAATCAAAGATGAATATATATATAGTGCCCCCCAGAAGTCACCAGAACTTCAGCTGAAGCAGTTAGGTAAAAAGACAAAGGAATAACAGCACTTTTTATAGGTTTTTATGGCTGCAATAACCATTTCATTCCACGTCACAGTGTTGGCAAGTTAGTAACTTGAAGTTTGAATACATCCTTATTTAAAGCTGTTTACTAGTCAAAGTCTAATAGGCCAATGTCCTCATTATTTTATCAGTGCAGGTTTTTATCTTATTGCAACCTCCACCAACCCACATAAAATATAACGTTTCCATAGGAAATAATATCTTAGACTTATGTGTATGAATTTCAGTGCCTCTAAGAGGAACTGAAGTGAACTGACACATCTGCAAACATGACTGACAACTTTCCTGTATTAATAATTTTTACAGAGAGAACTTAAAAAGGTGGCTGAGAGAGCTATTGCCAAGTTACAAGTTCGGACACTGCGGCGAACTGATCCGGTACAGTGAAGCAATTACATTGTTACCAAGTTGTTGATTTTTAAAGACAACAATCAGTGTAATGTGTATAAATATAACTGCATTTCTTTGCAGGAAGTTGAAGCAGAAGAGAACAACTGTGCTGTGTGTATTGACTCTTTCAAGAGGGGTGATATTGTGACAACTCTGCCGTGCAGGTATATAGTTATGGGGAAACATGATAAACATTCAAGGTTGCTTTTTGGACACATACAGTCATAGGTTTTGGCGCCTCTGATCAGACAGTTTGACATTACATATTTTGACATTGTTGGTTTTTAAGTGGAAATAAGTGCACATTCTCTACAGAGAACACATTTCTGCACATTTTAATGCACAATTACTCTTTATTTTCTGAATTTAATCTATTGGAAAAATAAAACATGAACTATGTCCTGTGTAAAAGTTATGGCACATTCTATAATATGACAACCTATAAAAAGAAGTGTGTACTAAAATATGCAGAAACATACCGTATTTAAGTTTGCTCCCTGTGGAGGACGTGTTAACTTAGTATCACTTAGAAAATTCACCAATCATGTGATTTGACTGGGGGTGTTCAAACATACAGTGAAGTACAACTGCATTTAGCCTTAGACCAACAGGTCTTTTTAAGGCTCAATCCCTGGCGACAGTAAAGTTTAGCTTTACTAACACTGACATGGATTTGGTTCTAATGCTGACAGTACTCAGAAATGGACTCCAATGGCAAGTATACCTAGAAATCAACTCTATCAATTTTAACCTTTTGTGAGCTCTCTTGTGCAATACAACAATACCGTTGACCAAGAAACAACAGAGCACCAATTCTCAAACTGATCTGCTAAAAAAGGGAGGCTGTTTTAAAGACTGGGTCTGTGTGGTTCACCCAAAATAGATAAATAAAATCCAATTAAAGCTGATGTTTCGCATGTCATTCTCTGTTTAATTAAAAATCCAATATGCAAGGCTATTACACGGGCCTATCCCATTTCCTATTAATATTTTGATTTCTGTTTAGGTGGTATGTGAAGTTTGAAAGGCAGATTTGCAGGTTGTACTGACTAGTATGAACTTTTTGTAGAAATGCATTACTGTATCTTCCATAATGGACCATGTGATGATTTCATAACCCTCAGGGTTCAAGTTCCAAGAGCTCTTAATTTGCTGAGTCACCAAACTGTGTGTAACAGTTTGAGACCATACAGAGTGTAACAATGATTTTCTATCTTTATGAGAACCAATAAGTTGACTCTTAATTTTAACTGTGTCCCTTTATACCTTTTCAAGCCACCTCTTCCACAAAACATGCATTGAACCATGGTTACTGGAACACCATACCTGCCCTATGTGCAAATATGACATCCTTAAAGGAGAGGTAAATTCCATTTGAACAAAGTTGATTTGCCATTATTATAACACTAACAGTGTCAGTGTCTATCTGTGTCATAGTACTTTCATAGTTTTTTATAGTTTTCCTGAGTAAATCCTTACTTCAAGTCCAAGCATGTGCAAAATTTGTTATAAATGTCATTTTATGTCATTATATTTCATTATAATGTCATTATAATTATCTTAAAACCAATTATCTTATCATTTTTAACAGTGTGGTTAAAGCAACTAAATGTAAAGTTGAAATACATTTGTTTTTCATTTTTCTGAAGGTTGGGGTAGAACCTACTCAGGAATCTTCCATGCCACCAGCAGATGTCAGGTTTTATCCAAGCTCTGTCTCAGGGTCACTGGCAGAAACACCAGACGTGGTCAGATCTCTAGAGCAACAAGCTGAAGCCAGGCCAGGCTTAGGTCTTCAGACTGCTGGATGTAAGTTAGCCTAAAACCAATCATTTTTATTCCCTATTTTCATATATATATATATATATATATATATATATATATATATATGAAAATAGATACACATATATATATATATATATATATATATACATATATATATATATATATATATATATATATATATATATATATATATATATATATATCCTATGGAATGAATTTCCAAAATTCATATGCAATGAAATTTTTTATATATATATATATATATATATATATATATATATATATATATATATATATTTATATGCCAGCTGACTTGCTAAAAATCCAGTTCATTAGTGTAAATAGAAAAGGCCATCACATAGCGCTTAAATATTGACTTATTGACTGATCAGTGAATGAATTGAATGTCAATGAATGCTTTTTTCCCATGACATCAGGTGCCATTCAAGTATCGAATCACATTTATGAAGACCCATATGCCACGAGAGAGGGGCACATCTATGAGAACCAAGCATTTGAAGAGGAACAGCAGATCACTGACCATCAGGACAGTAACCATCAGACACATCACGTTTAGAATTCCCTGCATAGTCTTCAGTAAGATGGTCTCTTGAACTGGGGTATAATAAGGAAAAGAATAGGAAAAAAGGGCCTGACAGGGTTATCTGACCCAGAAATTAGAGCCCTTTAAAAAGCAGCTTGAAATAATCAACTGTAACACCATGGATTGCACTAATTCTAATGATTCTGAAAACAAAGATTGTTAGATTAGATAATGGGTTTGGCAGCATTTTTTCAAAAGCATGCACTTCAAGGCTGTTGATTTTTCACCTAAAGACTGACTGTCAGAAATGTGCTCAGTGCTCTGCTATGCAAAATGAATGACTTTATATTTTTAGAAATTTGATAGATTTTAAGAATCTACAAATTATTTTTCCCATTTACGATCCAAAAGGGGCCAAATACTGAATCATAAACTGTATTATAATGTATCATACACTCATTATTCCTTCTAACTATTGCGATAGTTTGCCTGTGATACTATAAAATAAACTTATATTTTTAAATAACATCTTGTCAAGTTATTTTTACAGAGAGGTCAGAATCAGAAATTTAATTTTGTCATGTCCCTCTCTTTGCAACATAGCTGTTTACTTGAGCCAACTTCTTGATATGCCAGAATGTTTATTTAAAACAGGCTGCATCTCACTGACACGCCTACGACCACAGGCTAACTAAACTCACTGACTTGCCAGGAAGTCTGTGCCAAAGAAGTGTAATGTACATGTGACAAAACTTCCACTGAATATAGAAAACAGTTAGTGTACTAAGTGAGCTAAGCTGAACTGGTCAGTCTTGACAGTCTGTCTTGCAAACTGTTGTTATTGGGGAGCATGCTGTGTAGAGCATTCGGCATCCCTTGCTGTCAGTGGAAGCTAATTATAACCCTTGACTAGGGATCTTTGAAGTGGACGAAGTCAGCGGAGGAGGTGCAGTCTGGTATGTGACTTAGAAATCGTTGAGAAGACTTCTAAATTTAACCCTTTAGGAAAAGAGACACTATATCTAAAAAGGGCTGTGAAACATAAATCCATCTTAACTGTAAGTTCTGCATTGTACACTTTGCACCAGTGGAACATTAAAGTAATTGTAATTTCCTGTATAGCTTTCCAAAATGAAGACTGTTAATGCTGTATTGTGCAAATATGTATATTGGTAAATAAAAATAATAAATATCTTTCCATTGAAATATTTCTAAGATTTCTTTGCTTACAGGGAAGAGTTCAAAGTTAAATTTAAATTTTTAAAAGGAAGTAATGGTATATCTTTATTTGATCTCAATTTTCTGGATGGGTGTTATTTATTTTGGCCCTTATTCCATGTGCCTGCTGATATGTACTGTAACTTGACATGCACCAAGGTCCTTTGGGGCGTACAAATAATAAACCATAAGTGTAAATGCTTATTTCAATTCATATAATGACACTAGAAATCTTAATAACTGTACAGAAGTTGATGCAGATAATAGAAATAATTGAGATTAATGGAAATAGACACAGTATAGTATATAAATAAAAAGTTTGTCAGACATTTTAATGATGATAAAAGGCTTTTTTAAGCCATTTACTGTAACAAAACTGAGAATATCCATTGCATATGGTCTTTTAAAAATACCACTGACATGACAAAAAACACCCTCTACTGGAGTTTTGAAATAACTGAAGTTTGGGACAAGGACCATGCCTGAAACCCTTCCTCCTTCCTGTGTAAATGCCCTATGAATTTCCATCTCTACCTTCTGATTCACATGATAAAGCTTTCACAGTCCCCACCACCACCCCATCTCCTTCCTGTTCCTCAGTCCTATATCAGTCCTACCACATAAGTCCAACCTTCAAAATCCAGGCAGAAGCCACCCAAAACTCCAGGCCAAGTTCTCAGGGTTCTCTCAATTCTTTAAATCAGTCTTCCCTAGTACTACTACCACACGTTGAAGGCATAGTCGCAAAATGGGATGTTTATTGCAGCATAAGTGGAAGCTGTAAACAATCTGACAACCTTTGACAATCTGACAATCTTTGGAAAAATGTTTGCGCTAATTGATGAAATTTAACAATTACACCAGGACTTTCTAATGTTCCATTATGAAAGCTTCAAAAGCCATGGTTTAAAGCAAAAAGATTCTTTTGAATATCTCAGAATCTTCAAAATAAATGTCAGATCTTCAGATCATCTATCCTGGTTTTGTTGCTGAACTTGCCAGCTCGGCTGGGCCTGCTCTGTTGAGCCCCCGGTGACCCAGGAGGTGAACCTGAGCCTTTCTTTATTTTCAGGTCAAATTCCTCTGGTTTACCATTTCTCTCAACAGCAAAGTTGTCTTTGTTCTGCTTACAAACTGCTCTGCTGTTATACGGAAGGAAGGAGTCTGGATCACCAATGCGTGGAACATATCCCGGGGAAGGCTGATAAGAGGGTTGGTGGAAATAGTTATAAGGTGGCACAAATGGATCAGCTGCTTCACTCGGCGCCTTAGATGATGTCTCAGACGGCAGCTCGTCCTTTCTGTAACCAATGCTTTGACGGCACTTGGTGAAACCCAAGTGATACATTTCCACTAGGTTAAGAAGAAGTGAGAAGCATGCTACAGCTAGCATGAAGATAATGAAAATAGTCTTCTCGGTGGGTCTGGAGATGTAGCAGTTCACAGGATTGGGGCAGGGTGGCCGATCGCATATGTAGAGAGGTTTAAGTTCAAATCCATACAGGAAATATTGTGCGACTATAAAGCCTACCTCAAACAAGGTCTTGAAAACAATGTTGAAGACATATGTGCGCAGAATATCCCCCTGTAGGCGAATGTGGCCTTGCTCATCATGCACTGAAGGCTTCTTGGCTTTGGCTTCACCAATGAGAGGCTGGTTGTCACCCTGCTGTGAGAGTTCCTTCTCTTTCTGCTTGTGTTTCTCTTCCATCCGAACCAGATGCAGGATGTGACCCAGGTAGATAAGTGTGGGTGTGGACACGAATATGATCTGAAGTACCCAGAAGCGGATGTGGGAGATAGGGAAAGTCTTGTCGTAGCAAACATTCTGGCAACCAGGTTGTTTGGTGTCACAGGTGAAGCCAGACTGCTCATCTCCCCACACTTTCTCAGCAGCCGTGCCCAGCACCAGGATGCGGAAGATGAAGAGGACGGTCAGCCAGACCTTGCCAACCACTGTGGAGTGCTCTTGGGCACTCTCGAGTAGCTTTCCCAGCAAGCCCCAGTCTCCCATTGCAGCTTGTGCTTTGGACTGATTCTGCAAAACATGTGCTCATTAAGGTCTGCAGTAACATTTTGTTGAAATTTGAAATTAACCCCTTGAGGCCCTGGCTTATTTTTTAGTACCCCATTATTAAACTTGTAGTAAATATTATTAAAGATTCAAAACTTCTATTAACTAATATGAAAGTCTTATGGTTGTAAGAGTAAGGAACTAAAGTGTGGGCCCACATACAGGCTGTCCAGTGTTAAGGGGCTGACATAATTTCTTTCTTACTTTTTAAATGAAAAACAAAAATAACCACCAGTTAACTGTTTAGCAATCCAGCATTTAATGTTGTCAGTAGACTCCCTCACTTTTTTCCTTCTATGAAAACTGACACACGTAAGCCATTCATGTCTAAAAGCTTCCCCTTATCTTGTTACCAAGGGATCCAGTTATCACAACAGCACCCTACCCAAGAAGAACATACTGTGTTGCAGTAGAATGACAGTTTCTCTGTTTTCACTCACATTATCTAAACTTGATTTAATAACATGATGGAAAAAAGGATATTTCAACTCAAAAAGATCTTAAAATCTTAAACTTCAAATAGTAAATCAACAGAACTTAAGACACATTCTTTCTCTGTTAACTTGCTATTAGAAGTTTAGTTAACTCAAAATTAAGGTTTTTTTTTACAGTTTAAGGCAGCCAGGTTTTTTTTTTACAATGTACATCTATCACAAAATAAATCTGTTTTATGGAAAACATTCAATAAGAACAACTCAGAACCAAACCTGAAAACAGACATAAATGTTTGTACGAAGGCATAACTGTATGCATCCAACCACCTGTGATCTCTGAGATTTTCTTGTGTGCCAGGATAGAAAGCTTAGCTTTTTTTTCTGTGCTATTTTTAACAGTACTCAACAAATTATACAAATGAATTAAATAAATATTAATAATATGAGAATATTCGTAATATATGTAATGTAAATACAGAACATATTTATCATTGATATACTAGCTAATGCTAATGCTATGGTGAGTCAAAAACAGTCCGCCTCACCTGTCACCAGTCTGTCATCAAATATCCCACCAGTCTTTTTTTAAAAGTTTGAGAGACATTTAATCCAGCTGTTTGTATTACTTATACTAGTAAAGAGACTGAATGGTGCTATGATATAACAAAAAGCATGAAGCATAAAACATAAAAATGGTTTTTGGGTGTTTATTACTATGCTGATGTTGCGAACACTAACATTTTTCTAGGATGATGCTTATTTTTAAGCGAGAATGGTTTACAGAAAGTGACCCACCTTGTCACCGAATACATCTCCAGCAGTGGCACAGAAGCCATAAGCATGGATCCATGTGGGTTACTCACACAGGCCCCAAACTCAGGCCCATGTCAAAGCAATGTCCTTGAATGGGAATGAAATCCAGACTGTCTGTGGTCACGGCTCTGATCACAATAAGTCAATTATGTTTTTCTTATCCAAAGCACAGAGTATTGTTGGTTCACGCAATCCAGACCTGTTGAAAACACTGCCAAAGAGTCTTCTTTTGACCCCCTCCCTCCTCTGTCTCCCTGGGGTTAATTTTGGTACAGGGCACACTCTCTAATGTAAACTATCAGGCCCACCACTTGCTCGTTTCTTGAAGTGACAGGGCGAGCAGCCAATGAGACGACCGCAAAGTGACCCAAGGACAAGGCTAAATATAGCATTAGGGTCTCTCCTATCACAAGAGAGTTGACTTGGAAGTGCACAGACATTCAGGCCCTGAAGGCACTGATGAAAATCACAACAATGGCAGTGCTTCACAATGCTGTGGTTGTGTGGTAGATTATATCTGAAATTTATTCCATGCCCATTTGTTTTGCTTTTTTCTTAATCTGCAAAATGTGAAACAGCTGTAAGCACACCCTATGGTACATGACTTTAGGAGGAAATGCGAAGACATACTCATACAATAGATATGGAGTTAATATATAGTCATATTACTGAGGTAAAGACAATTATTGACATTTTATCCTATTCAAAACTGTTTGTTCATTCTGTTGAAACAAGATTTTGATTCCATACATGTTAAAAAGTATGTATTATGCAAACACTGAAAAGACACAATTCAAATGACTCCACATTTTATTCAGTAATGCTGTACAAGATGTTTTTATACTTACAAAGTGCTAATCTGAATTACTTTATATTTTTACTATTTTTCAAAGTTTTAGCACTACAATAAATAAGCAGCAATGATCAATTCAATAAATCCACAGTGATGAAATGTTATTTACAAACATGCCAGTGCATATATCAGTAAATGATGTGTATTTGTATTCATCTTTTATTGTTTAAATGAAGATGATAAAGTGTACGGGTAAAAACCCTTTATTCTGAACACTGAACTTTAGAGTAATTTCTCCTGTTTTTAAAACAAAAACAAAAATAAAATAAACGTTCATTATTTATGTATTATTTAATTTTTTAAACAGGTTCTCAATGGTTCAAATGTATCATACATGTTCCCTTCATCCATGTTTGCAAAAATTGTGATACCTATTTGCTCAATAGGTGCACAATTACAGCCTTTAGCCCTTCATAGGCCTGTCAGCTATCCAGTGCACCACTTAATTTTCTGACCAAATAATATTTGAATTGGTAGTGTCAAGGCAGTGAGTGTCGGATGAGCGATAGTCTCTAACTGTACGCAAGGTGGACCTAATGTTTTTTATATATGTAATATAAAATTTAAAACCTCAAGTATCTGAAATATTTCTTCTAAGATTTTCATATTTCAAGACACCTTCATGTGTTTAAAGCTCTGCATCTGAGTATTTTGCATATCATCCAGCAGCAAAAAAAAATTTCAGGTCCTCTCCATGTATTTCTTTAAGATATCTTGCAAGAAAAAAAAATTCTTAAAGCCCACCCTTCCATCTTGCATTTCTTGAAAACATGGAAGATGTTTACATATTACATGCGTTTTAAACCTTCCTTTCAAGAATTAGCCATTCAAAATCTTCTACCCCAGGAGGTCTAAGACAATAACCAAAATAAATATATGAAGACAAGTATGCAGGGCACAATTACCGAAACCCTTCAAGTTGGTTACTGATGTTTAGTGAAACAAATCACCCAGATGATGTTGATGGCTAGAAGGCAGAACACCTCTCCCCCTTGTCAATAGGACTCTTTCTGCCCACGTTCAATCTGGGCTTGAATGGATGCTCTGATATGAGCTGATTGATCTCATTTTGCTTGTAGGAAGACAGCTTTTGAGTGAGCCAAGGTCCTTTCGGCTCCCCTTCGGGTGTCTGGAAGTATCGGACACATGCTCTGCCTATCAAATACACCACCTCTGCAATGTTTAGCAAGACACAAACCCCAGATACTGCCAGCATGAAGACAGTAAAGATGGTCTTTTCTGTTGGACGAGAGACAAAGCAGTCCACTGTGTTAGGGCAGGGATAAGAATCACACTTAACCAGGCGTACCATTTTGAAACCAGGGTAGATCAGGTAAAAAATATACAAGAAAGCCACCTCAAAAATGATTCGAAAAATTATGCTTATCATGTAGGTCCACCAAAGCGCACCAGTAATCTTGAACTTCTGATTCTTGATTTGTTCCAAGTCCTTGGCGCTGGCTCGTCCCGATATTTTGAGAATTTTTTTGTCAATGTGGCGGCGATGTGCAACATGCATAGCAACTAGCAAAGCTGGTGTTGATACAAGAATCAGTTGCAAGGCCCAGAGACGAATGTGAGAGATTGGGAAGAACTGGTCATAGCACACACTGTTGCAACCTGGCTGCTGGGTGTTGCAGGTAAAGCCAGACTTCTCATCGCCCCATACGCTTTCGGCAGCCACCACAAGAACCAGAATGCGAAAGATGAAGATGACAGACAGCCAGATGCGGCCAATGCCCGTTGAATGCCTATTTACACCGCTAATTACGGCATAAAAAGACGCCCAATTCATTTTCGATTCCAGATCTGCAGAAGGGAGGATGAACAATGTAACAATGTAAACTTTCAAATTTGACAAACCCTAAATCATTAGAATTTAATGAATTTCTAATCATATTTAATTAAAAAACAAAGCAACCTAAAAGTCCTTAACGACTTTCTGACAAGCATTACAGCCACTCTTACTGACAGTAAGTTCCAAAAAGGCATAAAAGTCATCAATAGTAAACACTGATAATGAATGATGAGCACAATTTACCAGCTCAGCCCGTGGTGTAAGCAGCATAAGCTGTGCCGGGTCCAAAAGTATCGACCATCAGGTGCAGTCTGGACATTTGGACACTTTGGGCAGCAAAGTATGACAAAAGTGTTCTGAATGCCTTGGAGCTGTTTAAGAGCATGGGCGATGGCCTAGTGCCACATGCTGTCACCTGATGCAAAAGGAAAGGCCAATAGCAAGGTTTGTGGCAAGGCCATGTGACAGCCTCCGTAGATCTATAAAAACCAGATTTGCTGAGGTCAAAGCACCTGTTAACATAGCTACATCCACCAACATCTGATGTCTTTCTCTCAAGGATAGGTTTTACAGCTCATTTCACCTCTTTGTATCAAGGTCCAGCTCTTGGCATTGAAATGTATACGTATAATGCATTAAATGCTAGAGTAAAAAAGGTCTACAGATGAATATGTGGATAAGAAATTACTGGCTTGTAATGGCAGCTATCAAATTAAACTGTTCCTATCAGGAGAGGAAATTTAGAAAGAATTAAACATTTACCTTCAGTTGTTGTGGTACACAAATGTGTCCAGAAAAGGGTAGATAAATTTTCCAAGATGTCTCTCTGAAGAACACCATATCACTGGGAAATGCAAATACTTTCCACAATACTAGCCACTACCCTGCACCGTAGAAGTCATATGCTCTCATAGAAACCATTTAAATACAATAGTGGCCTTTGTTGAGGCTAACAAGACTGGAATTCAGATCAAACGCCTAGATTTCCGCCTACAGGAGGCGAAAGAAAGAATCTGTGTGGACACAAAGGCCTCAGCATCATTATTTATTGTGCCTGGTAGGCTAAGGAAGTGAAGGGTGTCTCTGACATGAATGACTGTCTTAAAGGACAACACTGACATTTTGGCAAATAATCTCATAGTTCACTTGCATCTTGGAAATAATTTTTTTTGTGGATTGGTTTTCTTTCATGACAAACTTTTCTTAATGTTTTTACAATGCTAGAACACTAGGTGCTAAAATATGGAAAAATTACTGTAATTTTTACACAGTGGAATCTGATGGATTTTTTCCTACAACACGTATCTCCTGTTTAATAGAATATCAGCAAGAGTCTTACATCTTTACTTCACAAATTGTGTCAAAATGGCACTTTTACTCCTCTTATAGTTAGTGCTGCTATACTAAACATGGTAATTAATTAGGTGTTGGAAAGGTGTTGTTGCAAAATTTTCCAAAAAAAAAAATGAAAGTAGTATCATGATGCCATGCCATTTCATGGTTCTGATGTTGAATACTGTGACGACAGAGTGACAGCGCTCATTAGGGGCGTTGACAATTTAGTTGTGTAATTGTGAAACAAGCACGTCTGTTGATCTGCCCCCTTATCTTGTGACATGAGCCATGCCGTAAGGATTCCACCCTTTATCGTCATCTTACCCACCTCCTTGGCAGGGAATTATCCCAGTTTATTCAAGTGACCAGTTCAAACGCCTCCATCAGGGAAAGGCAGTACAAAGATGAAGCTTGAGAGTAGCAACTGCGGTTGACATGAAGAAACAAAGCAGCTATTTATAAATTACTTTCCCTGTTGGACTACACAGAGCCATACTGCAACATAATACTGTCATTTATTACATTTCAATATTTCTGTATTGTGTAATAATTTGTATTTGTTATTTATTTATATAATGTTACTTATGAATTAAATACGACTTTTGATCATATATATTAAGCATCTTTTGATCATATAAGCAATTTATAATATATTAAAACTGTTACCCTATTTTATGTGTCAGGAACTTTGTTTCCTTGCACAAAAAAAATTATGTGAATCGTTTATTTAGAGACGTTAAACAGTAATTGATCCCAAAGATCATAAGAGGGTTAAAAATTTTCATTAATACCAGTGTCAAATAGATTGTTCTTCAGGATTTCCCAGCAAATGTTGAATTTCAGATGTTTTTTGTTTTTATTTATTTATTTAACCACTGCAAGATATTGGCATAAAATTTGACTTTTTAGTGCTGAGCATTATTCAGTAAACAATACACTTAAAGCTATCTCTGTGTTACCAATATATCTGGAGAGCACAATACATGCCTAAACAAAGATAGAATTTCCAATAAATTTCAATTCAGTTTCTGGAAATGCTCTGAAGAAGCCACACATGAGCCTACGGTCACCATGCCCAGTGCCAAGCGTTGGTTTCATACTGCTGTAGCCAACCCCTGGTGATGGCGCACCATGGACTATCCATAACCAATCATCCAACATCAGTTCCTGACCTCATTAAAGCTCTTGTGTCTCAGTACAGTCAAATCTTCACAGCAATGCTCCATTTACTGTAAAGCTTGTTTCTGCATCAAAGCAGGGGAAGAACTCCATATTAATACTCTCATAGATCACAAAGTGAACTGGTCTTTCTGGAACTGTCTTTACACATTTTTTGCATATTAACTTCATCCTCAAATTTACAAACATCTTTTTCCTTTGGGTCAATTTAAACCAGCACTTTGAACCTAAATAAAGCGATTACCATTAAGATTGTTGACCAAATTTATGTGTCTGGAACTTTATTTCATATCTCAATATCTCTGCTTTTTGGTTTGCACAGATACAATCTGGCACACTGATCTTGGAATTACACTTGCCCCATAGTAGAATCTGTTTGAACTCGAGTTATGTCTGCATTTTTCACCATATGGTAGCGTAAGACATTGAAACACTAACCACACTATAAGTATATGTAGTAGACAACTTGTCAATTGTACTTCTTCTAATTTTTAAGTTTCCATCTAGGTTCATTAAAATTGGCCACTGAGCCAAGTTGCAACACTTTAATTGCAGGGTTGCCTAAGACTACAACTAAAATCCCCTCAATGGTATAATAAACATTTGGGGTTTACCCTAATATCTCTCCTAAGCTCAATATACTGTATTGTAAAATAGCTAATCTCACATTCCAAATGCATGTTTTTGGTGTACCAATGAATAAATAATATAACAATGTCAACATAAGTTGTTAATCTTTTAATAATGATAAGTCTTTAACATCTTGCCTGATTTGAAAAAGGAAACAAAATAATTAATATTGCAAGATGCTGAAATGCAGAGTACCCAATATAGGTCCATGCAGAAAAGAGAGCATGTTATTCTCCTTTTATGATCAACTGGTAATCAAACATTTGTGCTGCACAAACTACAAAAACACACAGCTAGGCAGCATTTGACTGTTTTATTTTGTTGGATAAGACACTGTTTTATAAGTGGAGTGTTCCCTGTCAGTATAGAGAGATGCATAGTCATGCATCAAACGTGGCTACACAAAATACAGAAGACACAAACACACTGCTCTTAATTTTCCCACTGGACAAACTGGACAAAATACCTGTCTAAAATATCAGTTGCAATATCATTTTTCTATTAAAAAAAGCAAAAGACAGAAAACGAGTTTAAACGAGTTTAAACATTTATATGTGCCCAGAACACGGACACATCACGTCATTTATTACTTCAACAGTGGAAGCATTTTAATTTCAGGCTTAAATTGAATTTCAGTTTATTAGCAGAAGAAAACGTTAGAAGAAAATGTTAAGTGCACATCCACAGGCAATAAAAATGTTCAGTACTGACAATTTTGTCATAGATTGTCAAAACGTGACTATTTTAAGTTGCTCATCCTAGATAGACATTTCTCCATTTACAAATGTTTCATGGACAGATGATACAATGTAAACAGATGTTACACTTTTCACATAATTTTCAAGGACACTGCTCCAAAGCTTATATGTCCTAAATACATTTTTCCCCAAATATCACATTGCTATTTGTATCATGAGGTTGTCAAGTATTCTAAATAGGAATACTGCTGCATAAATGCTACATGCAAACTAATGCTCTTGTACATCTAATTGAAGTCATAACATTGGCAAACTTGCCAAAATATCTCTACGCAAGCAAGCAAACAAGCTTTGTCAAATGTGAGTCAAGTGGCTTTGGCAGTAGTAGGCTACAATTTGAGAAGCTAGTGTTATTATATAATAGTGGCCAAGCAGTCTGCAGTTACCATAGTAATTTACTTTCTTACAGTGTCACTTTGCAATGTCAATCAGACTTGCAAGAGTGTTAGTTTGCATGTAGTAGTATAGAGCAATATTAATATTTCTATTTAAGGACCTTGTAACTCAAAAATGTACATATGACAATACATATGAGCTCTAGAGGGAGAAAAGGGTGATTTTCAAAAACCCCATTCATTTTTCTATAGACAAAAACAGCTTAGACCAATAGTCCCAATTTTTTACCAAAGAAATACATATAAGCAATATTCCATATCATTTGTATAGCAGCAAAACCTTGTATCTCAATTTTATTTATTTATTACACTAGAATACACTGTCATTTATGTTACGGTAAAATTTCATGACATGCATTGAAAGTTAAGAATATTTTTGCTTCTCCTGTGAAGATACAAGGTTTTGTTCTGCCTTCAATGATTGAAAAAACTTGCCTCTCTCAAGTCTCTTAACCGGAGGAATGGCCAACAAAATCTAAAAAATATAATGTGGATATCTGTAGCTTTTTAAATGCTAAAATAAGCTAAAACAATATAAAGTTGTGAATGAGATTAACCTGCTAATGACTGCTAAGAAAACTAAGTAAAACAAAGAACAATAGATTTCAATGTTTCAGCTGACAAAAAGCTCCAGACTAAAGCTCTGCGTAGGGCAAATTGTCAAGATGTACTGTTAACTAACAAAACAATAGCCAAGTTAACCACTAATTAAGAACACTGATGTCCAGTCGTGTCCACTATACAACAACATGTATACGTATAACAATCACATTACAACAGTGGTCACAAACCCTCCTCAGGGAGATCTACTTTCCTTAAATCCAAGCTTAGAGCTTTGTTGAAACCTGCATCTAATAGGCTAGCCTGTCCTTACTTAATATCTGATCCAGCCAATCAAAGAATTCTGAAGAAATAGAAAGCAGTAGCTAGAGAATGTGTGGCTGACCGTGGCTGGAACTATTCTCCACAGAAAGGCAGAAATCTCCATGACCAGTGCTGGTAACCACTGTACAATAAGCTGTCATTTTCTGTTTTGAGAGTAACAGGAGATGAGATACTTCTCCCATTCCAGTGACTGTTTTCCTGATTGCTCTTGGGCATGACCTGAAAGACAACTACCACATTCAGTTTCACCAAAAGCACAGTGAAAATATAATGCTCTCTAGTGACAAGTAACAAGGTATACTCACTTTTCTTCAGTCTCGTGCTCATTTTTTCATGCTTGGCATGCCCATTTTGAGCCAATCTCAGGGATAAAGAATCACCTCTCCTGTTGAAATTATCATTAAATCCAGTATTAGATATGCTATTAGTACGTTTAATCTGCAAGCCTTTCCATTATGGAATGTAACATTCCTTTTCCATAGCAAACTTTGTACCTGTACTTGTTGGCCCTTTTATTAGCTAAACCAAGCATATAGCTACACTTTGTACATTTACAATTACTGACTATACGCCTTATTGCTGCACAATCTTTCAGCCACTATCTACCCTGTCTGCCAAAGGAAAGGCTCCAGCATAGGATCACCATTGAGCATACACCATTTCGCTGCTGGGCCACTCTCAGTC